TTTTTATTTACCCCTATTTAAAACAACTTTAATTGTGTTATGTATTTTCTTCAGTGTGAATATAATCCCAGGAATGATGTTGTATATAGTTAGCCATTTTTCGATGCCTAAGGTATTTCTAATGCAGCACTTGAGGGAGTGTGAAGAATTGTTCAGTCCCTTCTTTAATCATAGAGTGTGCAGATTAGAAGACTAAATACAATGTCAGCCACAGCCAATTGACTTGAATGGGGAAAAAAATTGCTAACTGCAACCTGACCATTCTAAAAGCATTATAAATTGGCAGGAAAATTAATGACACTCTAATGGGTGCTCCAGTACAGCACTGAATGAAGGAAATAGTTCAGCTCCTTGTGTAAAGAGAAAACCACATGAAAGCAACTCCCCGCTGGAAAATGAAATACACACATGAATGTTCGTGTTCATATTGCTTCGGTTTATTATGGAGCAAGGAAACTGTCCTATCTACCTGGCATCTTATTATTTAAGTGAACAGGTTTTTTACACATTTAATTTTTTTGGCCTTGCTTCTTATTTCATTGTATAATTATTTTCTCTTTTTTTCACCTTCAGCCAAAATGTCAATAAATTCTCTTACAAATCTGGAGAATGGTTAAGCTTCAACCACTGTGTCAAGTGTTGACTAATATTTTTATTTAACCAGATCAGCCGATTGAGAACAAATCATCATGTATAATGTTGATTTGGAGAATACACATTTATCCAGTAGGGCACCTATTCAAGAAATATGAGTTTCTTTAGGGTACAATAATATTGTCCCATCTGGGATTAAACCCTCCAGCCTGGAATCTTAAAATGTCTTAAAACTATCAATAAACATAAAAGCTAAGCATTACTTTTACGTTCAGTTTTTAAAAACAGTTTATATACTTTTTTTTCTTTCAAACAAACCAGGTAGCAGTGAGATTAATATAAGTGGGGCTCCCTTTTCACTCCAAAGAATGAAATATAAAAAGCTAGTAGCATGCTGGCTGACTACTTCATTGCGCTAAATTGATTTATTGCTCTGTACCAATAAAAACAGTATACTTTTTAAACTTTAAAAATTTGTCCCCCCATGTTTGTACTTGTATGTTTTTATTTAAAATTGGTTTAACTAGAGATGCCTCCTCAGACATGTAATTTCTGGGACAAGCGGTGTTGGCAGTGATGTGCAAGAGTTTATTCCAAAGCTTTTTTTTAAAGAAACATACATGCAGTATTTGGGGTTCTTTAATCTTTGTCTGGGACTTGATTGAGAAGAAGAATATGGGTCCTAATGCTAATTTTAGCCTTAAAGGGCAATAGTAAAGACAGAAATAAAAAAATAGAAAAGATTGTGCCTGTGGATGTTATTTAGCCAACGCACCTAGTATTAATGTGTATACCATGATTTAAGACTTTTACTTTGTGTTCATGAAACATTTTTAATTAGTTACAGCTCTGAAACCAGACATTTCTTCTGGCAGGAATTTCAGACTAACGTTTTACTCACCACTCATTTTTCCTGTTTCAAGGCTTGTTACATAACCCTTCTGTTACAGTGTGTGGTTGACTGACCCTAAATTTACTCAACAAGAAGAGTCTGATGACTTGCTTTCTAAATTGTGGTTCACTTGCTGACACTTGTTAATTTTTTTGATAGACCTATTTATTGACCCAAAGCAACAAAGTACTCTTAAAGCCACTCTTAACTAGCTAACAGGTGTGAATTTA